ATGATGTATTATTTTGGCATTGCGACAGCGGTCATGACATGCACGCCTCCACAGTGTGCGATGGAGTGTGAATGAGTGTGTGTGTGTGTGTGCGCCGTGCACTGTCCTCATGACGCCCCCTTGCCCGTGAAGAGACGATCTAACCACACTTCTTTCACCTGCGACGCACCTGCATGGCACCGCTTCACATGTGCAAGAGAGAGGGGCAACCTGTTCCACCCTGAGTCCAGGCGAGGCGGGCGGACTCGCTCTCTCTCGCACTTTGCCGCGGTGCCCATAGCGGTTGGAGCGGCGGGCGTGACCTGGCGGGTGGCATGACCCTCCGGGGCCGATGATAGCGCCGTATCGCGGGCGCGGGGGCAGCCACAGGGGCACGGGCACCCAGCGCAGGCCGACCGCGCGGCGTCAATAAAAAAAAAAATCAACACAAAAAAAAGAAAGAACAACCAACTATCACAATCCATAATCGCTTTTTGATTCCTGCTATGTCGCGTCCTCCGAGCAGCGGCAGCGGCGGCGGCATCCGCGTGGACAAACTACAAACACGATTATTTATCTCCTGACAGCTCAGTGACAGGCGTCAAAAAGTCGACTCCTCGACCTCCTCTCCTCAGCCCGTCTGGTGCGTCTCGTATCGGCGCGGGTCAGGCTGACAGCGGCAAGTGCACAACAGAAAGGGATATGCGATAAAACGCCTCCGTAAGAAACCGCCGGTGGCAAACTGCATCGCGCCAAACAGTAGGAGGCGTCGTCGACAACGTTTGTAAAACTCCCCGCTAGAGTTGCTCCTCCCTTTTAAGTCAGCACGGGATTATACAGGCGAGACGTAATTGAAGTCCACACCACCGCCGGCAGCTCGCTGAACGCACATTTCATTTTGCGATATAATAATACTCATAATAATAATGATATTAGGGAGCCGCGAGCGCGCGGGGGTCATAAATGCATCCTTATTTTCTACTTCGTCGCCCCAACGACGCGCTGCCGCGTGGGGCGGGGCGGGGCGGGGCGGGCGAAGCGGCAGCCGCATGGACAACTGTGCCATTACCATAACCCCCCCTACACACGCCTTTATTTCGGCGCGATCGCCACCATTTTTCCGAGCGGTACGTAAGTCCCGAACACGGGCAGGGCGGGGCGAGCCGGGCCGACACGGCTCAGGACGGCCGCCGTGCAATGCTCGGCCCGGCCGTCCATAATTAAATAAAGCAAACGACGCACAGTATGCGTGTAAACTCAACTACCAAATATGCATCTTCATTACCGGCGCAAAATATGTATTAAGGATGCGACAATATTCGTTACACAGGGTGGTGCTGCATAAGCCCCGTTCGTACTTTGTTTTTGTTACAATTTACCGCAAAATCCCGTTCCTGAATATACAAAGAACAAGATGTTCTCGTCCTAATGCAATGTCCTTGCAGTCAGCTAGAACATTTGCGTTGAGGCACGTAAATTGCCAAAAAACATTTTGTTCTCATAGTACAAGTAAAAAAACAAGTATGAAATAATGCCAGCTTTCTACACAAAAGTTCCATTAGTATGCAATCCTAGACAGCACTGAACAAGTTGAACTTTAAAAAGTCGAAGTGAGGTAAAGTAATATATATACTTGGCGCTGCAGTCGACTTCCCTGCTACACTCGCGCACTGCTCGGCTTGAAAATCATCCACGTTGAGAGCAAATCACTCTTCGGATCTGGGTCCATCAGGTTTCCAGGCGGACCGACGAGCGCCGGGCGAGCTATCGACCGGAGACCATCGCGAGGCTGCATCAGCAGGGGCCAGGCGGGCGAGGGAGGCAGGCAGCATCACTATCATCATCAGCGATAGAGTCGATCCTATCGAAACACACGTACGCAGACAATCGCAGCGCCACTTGTGCACGACACGTCTGCTCCGCACCAGTTGCACTAATGACAGCGATAGACGGTAGACAAGCACGGCACCACCCGCCCGCCCCCGTGCACCTGTGAGTACTGCCTGCCTACCAAAGTACCACCGCCTTCATCTCTTGTAAAGAAGGGAAAAGAAAGCACAAAACCAAGCAAATTAAAATATTCCAAAATTTAAAATATACTAGTAGCTAATACTGATTTTTACCGAATTTTACGTTAAAATTACAGAGTCAACACCCCCAAAACCAGGTCAGCCGCCAGTCGCTGATAATGGTTTACTTTCGTTTACTGATCACACGTTTCATGACAAAAACCGCAAGTTTCTGGGTGTGTCCGGATGCACTCTGCGGGCTACATGGTTAAAATTATAAGCAACTAACTCCATAAATTTTCTTGCGAACTTTTAGCCAACTTGACAGAGGTAAAGTCTTCTGCAAAAGTTTTCCCGCGGGCAGAGCTGCTGGGTCGGGTGCTGTGGTGGGCGGCAGCTGTGATTGTGCGGCGCGATGCCGGGCCGAGATACGTTCACCGTGCGTACGTGCGCACGCCGGCTCTACGTGCAGCTCTACGTGCGCACAGGGCGCTGCAGCGGATGGAATAACTCAGAAAAGAGTGACTCATCCGGCGCAATTCTGCTGCTGCTGGAGACGGCGGGCAGAGATTGATATAGGACGACGGAACTGCCCACAGCCGGGCATCCAGCCCCCGCCTTCTAGACTAAATATCTCGCCGACACACACACACTCCATGCCGGACCACGCCCACACACGGTAGCAGTAGCAGCGCGCGGTCGGTAGCATCGACAAGAAGACAAGCAACCGGTAACTCA